GCATGACCCGCACCCTCTCGGGAGGAAGCCTTTCGCTCTCCATCAGGCCCGTTGGCAGTGCCAGCGGGAACCGCCGCAGGGGCGTCCAGCCTGCAGCCCGTGGCCCGCATGCGGCCCAACACAAAATCGTATGCTTACTTAAAACATTAGAAGATGTTTTTGTGACTCCATGTCTCAATGTATCTGATGTGTGGCCCAAGGCAGCTCTTCTTCCAGCGTGGCCGAGATGCCTCAAGGCTGGGCCCTGTTTACAAGTGCCCGCTGAGTTCCGGGTCCTCGACCCCGTCACAGCCACTCCTGCCGGCAGCCTCAGGGTGGCGCCACCTCGCGGATAAGGACAAGGAGGCCCGGCGCCTGAGCAAACCGGCTGCGGGTCTGAGGCCCTGGTGGAGAGGGCAGGGTCCCACGCCAGGCCTGCCCGATTCCAAAGCTCAGGCCTTTGGGGAGCAGTTTCTTCTTGGGCTAAAATCCTGGTGGTAGGTTCCAACACTAAGTCTCTGGAAGGACTCAACTGCTACGAGTCACTTGCATGCGAGTGAGAGCGAGGGGGGGGGTTCGCCCGTTCCTCGCGTTTTGGAAAGAGAAGAGAACACGAGGCAGAGCCAGGCACGGAGCTCGGGCACAGTGGGTTCTGCGGGTGGGAGGCGGTGGCCGCCGCAGAGGCAGCCCACCGGGTGCACTCGGCTGCTTTCAGGGGGTTCGGGCAGGTCTCGTGATCCTTAAAGTAGCTCCTCCACAACCAGGCACAGTTACAATGGAGAAGGGTGCTTGGAGACTCGGCCACTATCTGACCCTTGGCTGCTAGAATGTTCTTGAGGAGCCAGGATTCAGCCAGCAGGAACAGGCCGAGGGAAGGACGGACACTGTCATCATCCTGGAGGGGCGTAATTCGCAGCTCCCGGGGTGCGGGGTCTCCCGCTGCTGTGGCTGGCCTGCAGCAGAGAGACCTTTTCAGAGCACACGCCAGGTGCCAGGCGTTCAGACGAGCAGGTGGAGGCCCCCAGTACCCCGCCCGCGGCAGCGCCTGCACCGTGGAGCTCGGCCTACCCTGCACCGAGTCCCTTCCCTGGGGACTGACACCGAGAATGCGAGTTTTGAGAGCATATCTCTCTCTCTCTCTCTCTCTCTCTCACACACACACACACACACACACACACACACACACCATGAACACATGTATTTGTGTATATATGTACAAAATCCACATATGATCCTCACACGCACAAGCAGGCCAGCGTCCAGGCCAAGGAGAGGGGCCCCCGTGGGCAAAAGGGCTCCAGGGACAGTGAACGCGTCCCAGGAGCCTGAGCCGACGTGGGACGGTCGGCATGAGTGGGCCCAGCTCTGGCGACCATGCCATGAGGTCCGTGGCCACGGCCTCCTCTGCCTGTGTACCTCGTTCCCAGGGGACTAACAAGGGCGACCTGTGTCTAAAGGAGCCGGCAATCGCTACGTTCTCCCACCTAATGGAGCATTTATTGGGTCGCCTGGCACAGGAGCGGGCCTCCCGGCACCTGCCGGCGCGGTGGCATTCCGGGCTCAGTCTCCCACAGGATCTATCCTGGAGGCCAGGCCTCCCGTACACACCTGACCATTCCCTGTCCCCCCTCCATGGCTCACAAAGAAACCCCTGGACGCCCAGCTGCCACCCCCTCCACCCCTCCCACTTCCCCTGACTGCCACGTGCCATGTGCCACGTGCCCCGTCGTGAACCACGGTGTGCCCCGCTCAGGTTATGGGTGTGTCCAAATGGCTGCCTCACCCCCTTGGGGGACACCACAGTGCCTTAAGAATCTTTTAATCACCACAGAGCCTAGCACCGCGCTGAGAGCACAGCTGCTGCTGAGCCCGGGCTGGAAGCCCCTGCACCGATGGACCAACGCACCAACGCACGCTGCTGGCTGCAGAGCGGGACGGCTTGCCACCCCGGGAGCACCAAGATTCCCTGCCTCCCAGGAGAGGCCCCACGCAGAGTGCTCAGCACAGCAGGCACGGCGCCGGGGCTCACGTGCGGTCCCCTATGGCCCCCGGTCCCTCTCCAGGAAGGAAGCACAAACCCCCCAAGAGACACTAGAGCACGCGCGGGCTGTCCCTGTGTCCACGGCCAGGAGAGAAGCAGGCTGTGTTTGCATGCGCACGCCGCCACCGCGGTCTGCCTCCTGTCCTCTGTAAAACGGTTCATAAAATCAAAGTGCTCCAGACAGGCAGAGGGCCCTCCTCGGGCCAGTCACCCCGAAGGCCAGCGGCCTGGCTGTGGCCCAGCCTGCGCGGCGGGCACGGTCCTCCCCCTGTCCATCCCTCCTTCATGCGACAGTTCTTCAAATACAGGACGACAGGGTGCAGGCCCGGCTGAGGCTCCCTCCCTCGGGCCGAGCAGCCCAGGACCAGCTTTGCGGCTTCATTTAAATAACAAATTCACCCGCACATTTAAATACAATTCCAGTAACTCAAATTCAATTTACACACGGAATTTTAGGAATATATTATAGGAGGTGCTGATTAAAATAGCAGGGTGACCCTTAATGAGGTTATCGGACGCCACCCCGCACCTACCTGAAACTGACGTCTAGATAAAAGTGAGCCAAGTCCTTGGGTCAGGTTCTCAGCTACACCCCATCACACACAGTCATTTCGCCAGATCAGTAGTAGTATGAACACAGCACAATATATCTCATAAAAAGCATCTCACCGTCGCCACGGTTACAGTCAGCGCTAAATTCCAGGCTCCCTGAAACCCGCCCCCAAACCAACGCGCCCCCCCGCCCCGCCGCGTGCAACCCTGACTTTCCTTAGGGTCCTGCTGTCCCAGCCCAGGCCTCGGGTCGCATCGGCTCTCTGTGGACCATTTTTTTTTTTTTTGTCCTTTTTTAAATCTTTCACTCTAACATGCACATATTAACTACCAAAAAATACAGTGATAATTTACAGAAAATGAGCTCCCTCCCTTTTTTTTAAATCCTCACCTGAGGATATATTTATTGATTTTACAGAGAGAGGATACTCGTCCCCCGCCGGAGATCCAACCCACAACCTGGGCATGTGCCCCGACCAGGGACCGACACGGCAACCTGGGGGGTGCACGGGATGGCGCTCCAAGCCACTGAACCCCCTGGCGAGGGCTGATTTCCTCATTTTTAGGTGAAGGTTTAATTTAGCATAACCACGTGTACCAGGAACCTGAAATTTTTAATGTCTCGCCCCATCTCACAAATGCATCTTCTAGAGAGCTTATCCTAGAACTACTGGGGAAAATCACCCATCATTTTCGCCCATTTGCGTGGAAAAACTGAGCGGTTTTTCTAGGCTGGTGGAATCTAATTGCTAACTGTTTACACAAATAACACACAGAGCTAACGAAACAGAAGCAGAAGCTGGCATTTTTCCAATGACCAGTCTGAACAGCCTCGTATCCAAAAGCATTAAGAGAAAGTAAACTTTGAAATGATTTGAGAGAAAGGTCTGTTTTCGTGACAGATGGCAATGAGGGTTCTTCAGTGCCAATTTAATCACTTCTCCTCCATTTTCGAACACTCGGCGGCGGCTGCAAGGGTCTGGACACCCGCCTCTCGCCTGCCGAGCCGCGCGGGGCAGAGGGGCGCCCGCCGCGTGCTGTGGTCTCGCTGACCCTAAGCAACCATCCCACGGCTCTGCTACCGGACTCAGGAGAGGATGTCGTTCAACAGGCACTCTGTCTTACGACACAAAAACGCCCTGTTCTCCCGGATGCCGCTCCTATGTCACCGACAGAGACTGACCCCGACTGGGAGTCTAACATGTCATCACCCTGTGGTCCAATCACCTTAACAAACAGACCCTGTGGACGCGGAGCTCACCGACAGAATGGTCTCCAAATTCTTAAGCAAGGGCTCTTGGTAATTTAGTGCCTTCTGTCATCTTACAAGGAAATGCAGGGGCGCCCGAGGTAGAGGATCCAGCGTCCCGGGGGCCTGCGAGGACCTGAGCTTCCCCGGGGCTGCCCAAGGGGGCTTCCAGCTCCACCCAAACGTGAGTCTTTTCCAGGGAATGTTTCCAAACTATCCCATCTCATGATGCTACTTCCTGTCTGAGCTGTGTATCTCTCTTTTCAAAGGCCACAGTTAACATGAGACTTGAAACTTTGACTCCAATGACACATGTAACTACAGGCACGTCAATCATAAATGCTCTGGTCACGGGGGCTTCTCTACCAGAGCGGGACACTCCTTGGGGACCACCATGCATCGGCCTTGGGGAAGTTCCTAAGTGAGAGACCGGCTCCTGCGCTGCCCTGGTAAAGGGCCTCAGGGACAAGGCTGGCGGCAGAGCGGGCAGCCACAGGCGGCCGCTCGTGAGGAAGGCCGAACCGTGCACCCCCTACCAACGGACGCGGGTCCCAGGCCCCGCACAAGCAGAGCTGCTGACCTCACACAAAGACACAGCCTGCCGCGCACAACCGGCGAAGCAGGGACGGGCCTGCTGGGTCCCGAGAGGCAGGCGTGCTCAGCGCAGAAGGGAGCGCTGCGTCTGCGGGGAGAGCCCTCCCCGAGGAGGCGCCCTGGGACCGTCGCGAGACGACCTGTGAGCAGCGGTGTTCACCCAATGGCTGGGCGAGCAAAGGACAGCGTTTTTGAATTCAGTGGCGGGTTTGCTAGGGCATCAGAGTCAGTGTGGTGATGTATTGCGACTGGCAATCCGTAATCTGAAAAGTGGTGGCTTTCTGGGGACAGATGCCCCCCTCCCGCACCAGGACACCATCCCTTTACTTCCCCTAAAACGTAAGCGCCCCTCTTCCTGCGCACCCACTGCTGGCCGGCCGCCTGCCTCTCCGGGGCACCGCCTAGTGGCTGTGTACGCCGAGCGCGAGCCTCTCCTCAGCTCCGCATCCTCAGGGCCAGCAGAGCGCCGGCAGCGCTCCAGTAGAAGCCCTGCCCGGTGGGCGAGGAGGACGGTTCGCATAAACCCTCGACTCAGAGCCTGTCCCACTCCAAAGAAAAGGAAGAGACCAATATATTAATCATGGTTTCCTTTTAATAAGGCTTTTTACTCAAAAGTGTAGCTTGGAAAATCTCTAGCTTGTGAAAACCGGAAGAGCCCGGGAGCCCCTCGCTCCGAGCCCGGCCGCACAAAGTGGCAGCCGCCGCAGCTGCTAACCCTCTAGCCCCTCACTGCAAGTCCGACGCGCCTCTTCCAAATCAGAGCCAGCTTTGGAAACTAGAAAGATGATGCCTGTCCTACTTTGATTCAAGGAGAAAAGACAAGTTCTTAATACAGTAAAACAACACAAAAGGTAAACAAGTCTTTAGAAATCACTAGGGCGGGTGTGTGTGTGTTTATATAATTAAGGTTATCATCAACATTTAAAACTATTAAAAATAAGGTTGCCATCTTACCTTTTCTTTTGGTACTGGAGTGTTGTATGTTTTGGGGGAACAAATAAAAAAAAAAAAAAAAAAAAAAAGGAAAAGATGATTTTGCCCAGACAAGCTCGCAAACCTCCAGCCCGCTCCCGGCTGTGGGGCCGGGCCGCCCCGGCCCCCCCGCTGCCCCCGTCCTGCTGGCAGGAGGCAGAGAGGCGTTCGCTCGGCTGTCACGATGACAGGCCCACAAAAGCACAGCTGAGAGAGGAGCTAAACTCTTCCCCGGGAAGAAAACACTTTGCCCACAATGGGTCTGCAAAATCTTCCAAGGCACCTCTCTCCCCCCTTTGCTGTCGTGGTGGGATAGCTTGCTTGTTCTGCCTAAAAGCAAGATGGCAATCTTAATCAAAAAAGGGAAGCTAGATTTTTTTTAAATAACTTAAAAAAATTATTTTTATATAAAGCAGCAAAAACACTTTCCTCTCTGCAGAAAAAAAAAACAAACAAACCCCAAAAACATGGCATAAGGAGCCATAGCGACATGAGTGGACCGTTCACAGCCCCGCTGACCGGATCTGGGGCCGCACGTCCTCAGAGCTGCTCTGTGGCTTCCCCAGGGCTCTCCGAAGCAGGTTCTTTGGCATCTGCAGTCACTCTTTTCCTTTCCTCTTCATCTAAACTTTCCTTTTCTAACCTGGTCCCGTTGGAGATAGAGTTCTGGCCGTTGATGAGCCCGTTTTCCGCAGCCCTTGCACGGCCACTGGCCTCAGTGAGGGGGAGGGCCCCCTGTGCGCCGGCCCCCTCCCCCAGGCCCCGCAGGACCAGGGGCAGCCTCGAGTCCACCCCGCCGCCCTCCAGCAGCCCCGGGTTACTCTCCTCATACTTGGGCAGCGGAGCGCGCGCCTCCATCTGCTTGCGGTAATGTTCCCGGTTCGAGGCCGCACTCTTCACCGCTTTCTCCAAAATCTCTTTTTCACCCAAGCGCAACTTAATGGCCATTTTTGCACGAACAGAAAGGTCTTGGTTTTTCAAGATGGACTTGTCTTCCTAGAAAATAAAAAAAGAGCAAATTAATCATAAAAAGTGTTGAAGCTTTTTTTTAAAGATTTTATTTATTTTTAGAGAGGGGATGAGAGGGAGAAAGAGAGGGAGAGAAACATCAACGTGTGGTTGCATTTCTTGCGCCCCCTACTGGGGACATGGCCCGCAACCCAGGCATATGCCCTGACTGGGAATCGAACCTGCAACCCTTTGGTTCACAGGCCAGTGCTCAACCCACTGAGCCACACCAGCCAGGGCTAATCATAAGAAGTTTTTGGTCTTGTTTTTAAATATTTTATTTATTTATTTTTATAGAGAGGGGAAAGGAAGGAGAAAGAGAGGGAGAGAAACATCAACGTGTGGTTGTCTTTTGTACATCCCCAACTGGGGACCTGGCCCGCAACCCAGGCAGGTGCCCTGACTGGGATTCGAACCAGCGACCCTTTGGTTCGCGGGCCAGCACTCAATCCACGGAGCCACACCAGCCAGGGCTAATCATAAGAAGTTTTAATCAGCAAATCTAGAGACAGAGAGGACAGGTCAGTGGTTGTTGGGGGTGGGGCATGAGACATTTGGGGCATGACACAAGGTTCTAGAGCTTGACTGTGGAGGTGGCTGCATGACTATATACGTTTACATCAAAATGTACACTTTAACACTGTGAATTCTATTGTGTATAAACTATGCCTCAAACTATCATAAAACAAAAGAGAGAGCCTAAATCCAAGGAGCTTTGACACGTGGGACAGAGAACCTTCCATGTGTTTGAACCTGTCTTGTCTTACGAGCTACGGGGGCCCCAGGGCTCGGCCCGTGGCTGAGTGGCTGAATGGATGAATGGCTGAATGGATGAATGGCTGAATGAACATTTAAAGCGAGTGACCTGATGGCCGACTTTGAAAGCACAGACGGAAGCTTCTGTCTGTTGTATCATGAATTAGAAATTATAGAGGAGTATCAGATAATGTGAAACATTTACCTTCTAATCAACAATGCCTCAATAGGATTCTTAAGTGTAATCGTGTTAAATAAGAAAAAAAAAAGGAATTATAGTAATTCACCTGTGGGAAGGAATCTCTTATTAAGCATCTTTTCAAACATGACAAAGCTCAAACCCTCATTCAATCCAATTACCTCACTAGTTGTCTTATACGTTTTTAAAAGAAGCGAGGCTCGGTCTTCCAGAAACGTCCAGAGCTTGACCTCGTTGTCCCAGCTCACAGGGTACTCAGAGTTCCCCAGGGTGAAGATCCTGTCGATAGCATTCTCTCCCAGCAAGTGTTCCTTCAGTTCTTCTGCAAGGAGCACACAAAGCCATCTGTCAGGGGGACGCGCTCCACCTGACAGAGCAGCTCTCCAGCAGCCCCTCCTCCCTGCGGCCCACTCGGCCGGGCCCTTCCTAGACTCTGCAGAGCAGTTGGAGCTAAGTTTTGGGCAGGAAAACAAGGTGAGATCTTCCCGAGTTGGACTTCGGTTGAAGCCTCCATGTTCATGGTTTTTATGAGGGACACCAAGAGCCTTCAGACAGGTCCATGAGGTGCCTTTCAAAAGACAATCTATTGCGGCATTTTGACACCTTCCCTACAAGCCATGAGCTCCGTGCCACACCAGCCGGGTCAGAAAGACATCCAGGTGAGCAATGGAGCAAGCGAAACCAACGGCAGCAGACCACCGTAGCGAGCCTTCTCAATATAGGTCTGATTGGGGCTCCTCACGCAGTGGACCCGCGCCAGCTATGCGTCCCATCTCAAAACACGGAGGCCACAGTCAGAAACAAGAAAATGGACTAGGAAAAGCATAGTTAATGAAAACCGTGTGGATGTCCCTCACTTGTCAGGAATTTAAATAGCAATTGCAAATGAACGCCAGTGAACATCTCAATTACCTTCAACTATATTTAAGAGGAAAGAATTCAGCAACTGCTCTAGCAGTTTATCTCCTGGCACATTATCTTCAAAAGCCCAAAACATGCCGGGTCTATTCATGCTCAAGAAATCCACCCGCTCCTTATGTAATTATGAGACAGTGTCTTTTTCAGAGCAAAATGCCCCACAGCTGTCACTATTTACAATGCAAATGCAAGAACTTCTGTTGCCAGCCAACCAAACTTTTATCAGTATTAGAGTAATTCGAAGGATACGTCAATTGTCTTGACATGACAAACTGTCTATGACTAAAGGGAAATGAAAAAAAACAGCAGATCTAAAATGATTCAAGGAGTTTATCTTTTTTTAAAAATTGTAAACAAAACAGAAGTTAATCAAATGTTCAAGAAAGAAATTCATTAAGTTGCCCTTGTCAGTAAAAGATTGTGATAATTCAGGAATTTTGGATGTTTGATTCTTCTGTTTATATTCTTTGTATAAAATCATGAAAAGTTACAAAAGCATTCCTTCAGCCTCCAGTGGTTGAAATTTGTTTTCAGAAGCCCCCAGAACTGAGGTTAGGGTTTTCCCTCTTCCCGAAGCTGCCCAGGTCCCGCCCCCTGCCCCAACAGGCGCTCACGTGCCCGGGGGACGCGAACCCACACGAGGAGGACAGGCCCAGGCCGCCACACTCGGGAAGTGCGCCCGGGGCTCCTGCGAGGGCCTCCTTGCTCTGCCCGCTCCGCTGACCACCGGACAGATGCCCTGTGCCTGGAGCCACCCTATCCTCGCGGGGCTCCTCAGCTTCCCCCGCCACTGCGGGGGCAGGTGAGCTCCGGTCACCCCAAGAGCAGCAGGCGCCCTGCTCCTCAGCCTGGCTCCTCCAGACCCCTAGGACACCAGGGTTTCTTCTATGGATCCTATCGCCTGCCGACCGGCAGCCACCACGTGGGATGCCTGGGCATGGGCTCTGGAGCCAGTCAGGGCCATCGCCTGCCCCCAGAGCACCCCAGTTCTTCATCCTCTGCGAGCTACTGTTCCCACGTCAGGTGCACAGGGACCCCTGTCTCCCACCAGGCTGATGACACTAACATCAAATCTGTGGGCTCTTGTAAGTCACAGGGGTACCACTGCCACCGTCTCTTTGTCACAAACTCCTCCAGCATAGGACAACATTCAATTTTGTACCCCTGCATTACATGCAAGAAAAGCCTACAGTTAACCTTTAACACGTGTCCATTTACTGGAACTGACAAACTCCTACCGAAGTACGAAGCCACCCAAAGCTCTCACCCGAATGATGGTGAGGCTACAGCAATGTGGCTGCTTATGAGGGACAAGGGCCACCTGGCGCCTCGGCGTTTTTGGCCTCCCCTCTTGGTGTTTGGGGACTAAGTGTCCTCTACGTCCACTTCTCCTGGATCAACACAAACCCGGGGAGCTGGGGAGAACAGAGGCCAGCAGAGCCCACTCTGAAGGCGACGGCCAGTGGTCACGGCCCAAATGCACCCCCCCAGCGCTTGGGCGGCTGTCCCCAGGAGAATGCGCGCTTTTTGTTCAACCAGGCGCCCCGCACTCACCGCCCCGCCCCGCCCCGCCCCATTCCACAGAGGACTCGGGGGCTGGCCACAGCGGCAAACACACGCACGACTAAATGTGGAGCCTCCACGCCAGCGTATGTGGCGCACAGCTTCCAATGAAAAAGGAAAGCCACCACCACGATAGGTCAAATCTCAGTAAAAACCCAGGTGACTTGTCCTAAGCAAATGTAACCTAGATGTTCGATGCACGTTTGACTCTTTCTGTGCCTGAAAAGAGGCCAGAGACAAGAACACTTGGCGGTTCCGGCAGACCCCGCTGGCCGCGCTGCCGACTCTAACAGGGCGCCGGCACGAAAAGGCCTGCTGGCGGTATCAGGCTCGGAACACAGGCCTGGGTACCAAACAAAGCCATCGCCACAGGTGCCTTGCTGAGCGCGTGCCTCAGTACCAATGCGCCATTAGCTATCGGGGTGCAGCGGAGGTCCGCGCGCTGGGAGAGAGACTGGGCTCCGCCGCTCTCGGTGAGAAGCACATCAAAACCTCCCATCTCCAAAGGCGCAATTTCGATACAGTAAGACAATCCAGGATGTTTTCAGTTTTCTTCCAAGGCAGCAGAGAATTGTTTGTGACAAATGAATATTGACAGCACATCGAGGATTAAATAAACCATTCCCAGGGCAAAAGACAACAACTTCTTCTTTCTCCAATATTGCTAACTTACCACCTGCCAAAAGGTACTTTAGTTTTCAGCAATTTTACCTTTAATCTGAAACTCAATGCTTTATATTTTCATGAATTAAAAAAACGACCATTTCTCCGGAAGTGACTTACCTTCGGTCATGCAGAACACGCGGAGAAAAGCCAGCAGCTGCGCAGAGACAGGCGGCTCCGTAAAGTGCAAAGCAAACACGCTGGAGCTGCCGAAACAGGAGATCAGTCACCCTCTGCGGAGACCTCCCTGCTCCTCATGAAACCCCCAACCCACAGCGCACGGGGCCGTCCTCCGGGGCATGGAGCTGCGCACGCCAGCCCGGCTCCTGTCTGAACTGCAAGAGAGCCGCCTTCCAGCTTCGCTCGGGCGCTGGCCAGCCTGGCCCCCGAGGATGCCAGTGACCGGCCACGCCATCAGGTCCTACAGTCTATCGGCCGCAGCCTCAGCTTGCATACAACGCACTGAGAGAATTAAGCACACCTGCGGTTCTTAAGAAATGTTAACAGTAATTTATGTTGAGTTCACATTTTAATCATTAATCAAATATTGACAAGTTCAATAAAAAAAGGGCCGGATAACCCATTTTCATTAAGAATGGTTCCTCTGTTCCCTGGAGAACTAATAAATCATAATTCTTGTCTTATCATTTTGCACCTCAAATGCACTAAAATCCTAAAGAATTTAACCAGAAATTCTTGAAGTCACTGAGGATCACGACTTCATTACAGAAACTAATGGTGGCAAAGAATTAAATGAAACAAATTGATCCAGGTCATTAACCTTTTCAAGGTGGAAGACATTAATGATACCAAAGCACTTATTTAACTTAATGAGGATTTCAGGCCACAGCCCCGGGAACTGACTGGGGAGGCTCCCAGCGACACCAGTGTGTTTATCTGAGCGCCTGGCGCGTCACCAGGCATCGCCACGGTCTGGACGGGGTAAAGGCAGCGAGACAAACTTCTGCAGGGAAGCTTTAGTAACACACCAAGTACACACTATGCAACTGGAAACAGTCTGAGCAGCGCAAGGGAGAGCTGGCCGCCCTTGTCTACGTACGTGGGGATGCCAGCACGGGCCAAGACCTCGGCCTTCATCGCGTAGAGCCGGTCACTTTTACTCACTCCAAGCTTTATTTTCACTCTGTCGTGTGAATTATTGTCAAAGAAAAAACCACTGTGGATCACAAACTCTGCATTTGACCGAGTGCCATAAAAAATGTAAATCTGAGATGCAGTAAAGAAAAAATAAAGGGACATAAAAGAGACTTAACATCCATTCTCAGCACAAAGCAGGGCAAAGGGTCAGTCCCCACAGATGCGACACAGCTTTACACTAAGGCAGCAAGGCTGCGTGGCGGGGACTCTGCTCCTCCCTGGGTATCGCGCAGAGCCAGGGCGCAGTTCCCGCAGGTGCACAACCTCCCCGCCTCCCCCACCTTCCCAAACTGCCAGAGACGAGGAGGAGTGCCGCCCCCCACCCGGGGGCCTCCCTCCGAGCCCTGCCCCTCTGGGCGCCAATTCGACTGTTGCTTCACTTCTGCCCTTCACGGCCCCCCCCATACAAGAGCCCCTCTTCTAGGCCACGGGTTTAAAGCCACGCCCATCGGAAATGCGTTTCCAGGCCTGTGGCAATCCTGACCTCGCAGCAGGGTCTATGGAGTGGTCTGCACACAGCAGACCAGTACTCTGTGTCAGCCTAACAGTTTTCATTTTGTCTCAGTCGCAACAGCAATGGTCTACACCAGCTCTGGATTTTTTGTGTTACCTGCTCAGTCATAAGATCAATAGATGGAATGCAGGTATTCGCACGGGTATATTTTCAAACAAACTGAAAGGCTTAATCCTGCCCCTGCCCACATTACTAGATAAAAACCCACAGATAAAAGTGTAAGTACAAGAAGTAGATTTTGTGGTTCTCAATTCCTTTATGTTTTTGCCACTTGAACGGCCTCCTTTTAAAGGTCTACTTAACACGAAAAGAAATAAAAACAATGTAGTTTTTAAAAACTGAAAAATGTCTGACTTTCATAACACAAAGTTTTTCAGTTAACAACTTTACTAATATTTGGTCAGCTGTGCAAATAACTGCATGTAAATCTTTTTTCTTTGCAGACGCAAAGCACAATGTGTTTACTACAGCTTTACGTCTCAAGACCTGCTCCCCAAACAGTCCTAAATATAGTCCCCAGTGTTTCTGCCCAAGTTAAACACCTTGTAAAAGTGCTAGCGCAGCAGGAGCTCAGTGGCCGTGCTGCCTGCCCACGCCGCGCCGGGTACGCGGGACCCACCTGCTCTCCGGCACGGAAGTCCTGCAGGGCCACGCACTCGCAGCGGTCGTCCTCCAGGTTGTACCCCGTGGTGATCTGGAGGCAAGGACAAGGGTCGCTCGCTCAGGGGGGATCTTTTGTGGGCAGTTAGAGGATAGAAGCTATTCACAGGCACTTAAAAGCACTGTGCGTGCTTTATAAAGCTGAGTGAAGAACTGCTCGGTTACTTTAATGAACACTATTTATACCAGAAATTCTTATGGAAGATTCTACACCTAAAGGACATCCTCTTAGGAAAATAGATCGTATAGATGATCACCTGCTTGTCTCAACCAAACATAAACCATTTATTACAAAGCTCCTGCCTGCGGAGGCTCCGCACCCGCCTCCCCCAACAATGCTGTGGATTTAGGTCCTCCTGAGAACTCTACTGACTTGCAAATACTGTCCCTGCCCAATGTTTGGCCTTTAAGAAACTGAAGTAGGTTTTCCATAGAGAAAGAATCAGGAGAAAAGAAAAGCTCCATTTCTGAGTTATATGTACATTTTACTCTGGAATTAGAGAAATTAAAACTTTCAGATAAGCAAAGGAGAAATAACTTCGTTGTATCCTATTCACTTTCTTTCTGCTGAGAGCTATATTGTGAGTTTCTAAGCCCATTACAAATAAATGCAGGAAATCCACTAACTACACCAAAACCTGCATCTCTCCCTAAACACCTCTGTCCTAGTGGAGACCAGGCAACGTCAAGGTCTTGCCACGTAAGCCGCAAAGAACTCTTCGCACCTCAGCGGGTCGGCGTTTTACCTTCCGAATTATACGCGGAGTGTTTCCTCCTGGGCCAGTCCCCTGCCGACCGAGGGCCTGCTGCTCTCCTGCCCAGCGTATCCGATTTGCAAAACTGCCCAGCTGGCCTCCACTCCCAGGCCTGTCGTCCCATGGCCCTAGCGACATCACAGAGCCGACCTCCAGTCTACAACCTCTCAGCGCGCTCCACCCTGCCTACAGGAACACATCCCAACTCTCCAGCAAGGCGCGCTGACGAGGCGGCCCAGGCCTGCCTTCCAGCCTGCAGACGCACCGCCGGCCTGCCACCTGGGCTGCCGCCTCCCCCCTGCTGGGCACCACACTCTGTTCCTGTCCCTGCAGGGCCCCACGGTGCCGCCTCGGCCACCCACCCGCGGGTATTTACCTGAGCGCCCGCCCGCCAGGTGGAGCTGCGGCTCCCCTGCCCCCGTGCGCCACACTGCTGCACCTGTTGCCGGACGCTGCCTGTGGGAGCTCTCGCTCCCCGCGGGAACCCCAGGGGAACCCCAGGGGGAAAACAGAGCCCCCACCTTACTGTGTTTTGTTATGTATAATGTGCATTTTTTTTGCCCAGATTTTTTAGGGGAAAATAAGGATGCGCATTACACATGGGTAGTGCTAATTCTGTATCTACAGAAATGTTTTTAATTCTTTATTTATTCTCATACATTAAAAGTGTAAATCTAGAAAGCAATAATGATATCCACATACAAAATGATACCCTGGAATACGATAAAAGGTTTGTTTTTAAATACAAATAAATAAAAAGTTGAATTAAAAAACTAAAACAAGCACTGGCTGGTGTGGCTCAGTAGACTGAGCTCCGGCCTATGAACCAAAGCACTTATTGCTGGTTTGATTCCCAGTCAGGGCACATGCCTGGGTTGTAGGCCAGGTCCCTAGTTGGGGACGTACAAGAGGCAACCAGTTGATGTTTCTCTCCCTCTCTTCCCCTCTGTCTAAAAATAAATAAATATCTTTCAAAAAATTAAAATGAAACATTTTTTTCCTGAGTTTGGGCCAAAAACATGCATACACAGTATGCTTGGGAGCACAACACATGTGGCAAAATGTGGTATATTAAAAGCTCCTGCAAAAAATTGAGACAACTGTAATAGAATAAACATGATTTTAAAAAACAAATTAAAAAAATAATAAAAGCCCTTGCTTAGGAGTATTCCACCCCGCTCATGCCAATCTCTGAGGCTGTTTGTAAAGGCACACTAATTCCTTTTGGCCTCCTTCCTTTTGCCCCAGAGAATCAAAATTCAAGACCAGCAAGTGCTACTTGCTAATAAAGGTCCCAACATTTGGGCCCAACACATCACTACTGTGAGTCCAAGAACAGCATTCTGGGATCAAAGGCCATGTGACACTGGTCTGTAAACCCAGCACCCCCAGAGGCAACGCTCACTTAAGCACAGACCTACAAACCCTTCACACTCCTGCAAGACCAGGAGGAAACAAGGAATCAAGAAACACAGGAAGCCCAGCGTCCCGGCAGAGTAGCTCCATGAAGTCCCCACCCAAAATCACTGGTCCAACCCCAAACAGGGCCTGGACAGCCAGGCCGGGAAGAGGACTGCCTGTCAACTCCAGACCCGGAAGTCTGGGGCTCCACAGTGTGGTCACACAGGGACCTGACAGGGCACACACAGGCAAGCAGGAAGTCCGGGCAAGCACAAGGCCCAGCGGGAGGGAACAAAGCAGCAGGGAGGGCCGACAACACGCGGGCAGAAACACGGGAGACCTACGACAGGACAGGACAGGACAGGACAGGACGGGGCGGGGAGTGGCGACCGCGCGGGGCACTCAGGGCAGGACGGTCGCCCGACGGCTTGGCAAGCGGTCAGTCTGCGGGAGCCCTGGGGACGGGCGTCCAGGCGGAGGGAGCAGCAAGTGCAGGCCGGAGGTGGGCGTCGGGAGAGCCACGGGGAGCGGGCTGGGTGTGCCGGGGCGTGAAGGGGGGCGGGCAGCGGGACCGGCCCTGTCTGCTGCGGGAAGAGCCTGGGCTTTTTACTGTGAGGCCCTAAGGCTCCTGCCGACCTAAAGGCCTTAGATTTCTCCCTGCTCAAACAGAAGGCCTTGAAGAAGGGCCTCCCGCATTCTGCACAACCTCCCCACGCTCCTGCATCACAGCCCGACTGCAGTCACGTATTCAGCCGCCAGGCTGAACGCTCCGACGCGCCGCACCTACCGGAGCTAACACAGGGGCCCACGCACCACTTAGAAGTGTGCTTCTCTGTGTAAATTCAACCACCTCGAGAAAGGAAACCTGCTGCTTACGTTAATTTTGAACAAGCCATGCAGAACTTAACAGACGTATTATTTCTTCCAGCTTAATGCCAAATCTCACAGGCCTGCCCGAGTCTGTTGCTGTGCGTGGCCTGAGTCAGCACCTGGTCCCGACCCTCTGGCGGAGGCGGGTCCTGCCTTCCTCCCCTGCCGCTGCCCGTGCCCAACTGCCACAGACCCGCCCCTTCCGCTGCTCCGGCACCCGGGTTTGGGACGTTGCTGGAAACACACAGCGTGGCTGGGTCACAAATTTCTACCTGCTCCCACAGTGACAGTCAGAACAAACAGCTCACAACTGTCAGGATACACACAGAAGAAAATTTAGTGCCGGAAAAGCCCAGCATTACCTTCAAGTACCTTATTTTTAAAAAGACATGAACTACTAATACGTGTCGTACACAATTTTTCAGCACTAAAATATTCTTAAATCCTCCCAGACGAACTTCCCTATGAAGCCCTACAATCGCAGCGGGAACAAAGGTCAAAGGGGCAGGGCTAGCCGTGCAGGGAAGCGACCCCTGTGAGGAAGCACCACCGTCCAGCAGGCACCTTCTGGAGGTGCGCCGTGTTCCTCCAGGGCTGTGGGGGGCGAAGGCCACATGCACAGTGACAGAGAGAACACAGCATCAGCATTGCCATCAACTCGTTATTTAGGTTTTACGATACACTAACTTTTTTCCTTCACTTTTTCAGGGAAAAAAGCGAATAGTTTAATGCCATTTACAAGAAAGGAACACAAACACGAGAGAGAGAGAGAGAGAGAGAGAGAGAGAGAGAGAGAGAGAGAGAGAGAGAGACTCCAAATGCAGAGCAGAGGCTGGGAGGGGCGGGCAGGACGCTGTCCGGCTGGGAGGCCCGAGGCCGGGGGGCGGGGGGCGGGGCGCGAAGGCTGCTGGGGGAGGAGTCCTGCACCTTACTGCAGAGGCTTCTAGATTGTTTCATTTGTTTTGTGTGTTTGCAATAAAGTATGTACTTTTAAATTTTAGCTATAAAAAAAACCATAATGACCAATACAGTTTGGAAACCAATGATCTAATCGCCCCCCCCAAAAAAAGAAGAGAATGTAAAATTTTATTCATTAATAAAAAAAAAAAATCCTACTATCCCTTAAAATGTCTAACTACATTAAGCATCTCTAAATTAAGGCAAACTGTAAGTATAAAGGTGGAACGACCCTTCTCCACAGCTCGGGCATGCAGTTGTGGCCGGACCGCCCCACGTCGGCACTAGCGCATGCTATCTCACGTGTCTGGCGCATGTTACACGTGTGCTGGCCATTTTGTGGAATTGGATGTGAAATACTTACAGCGTTTTTCCAGTCTATTTATAAGAGTGTTAATAATAACAAAGAAAGCCTACACTGAAAAAAAGATGAACAAAAAATTAACCAAACCAGTATACCAGTTAACACTTAAAAATTCAAAATGCTCTGAAGCTGATCCTATGTCGATGCACGGATGCCGGGGAACCGTCCCCAGACAGCCGTCTCAGCGCAGAGAGAGCCGCCAACCTTGTCGTTGCTTAGAACCCACAGACTGCCGGGACGCAGAGAGCAGCTTCCGCCTTTTGTGCGTCGTAATTAACAATCGCCACACAATTTCCCTGTTTCTCTGCGTCTGCTGCCCAGTGCTTCCCAGTCTGATGGTGCAACTGAGCCCTGTAGTCAAGGCCGCCGCCCAGCGCACGCCCTGCCGCCCTGGCACCGGGAACCCAGTGGGGGCTGGGAACAAAGCAGGTGAATGCGCAGGGCCAACGACATGTCAACACGTCAGGTGAAGGGAGGGGGCGGGAAGGAATCACAGAGCTTTCCACAACTGGAACACAGTTGGCAGAGGAACATAAAAGAAAAACAAGAGGGAAGAAAGGTCCCCCCCTCCCCCCCAATAAATCAGTATTTTAAGAAGAATAAGAAAAAAGAACCTTGGTTTAGTCTGTGGTTCAATAAGATAAGAAAATGAATGTTTAGGCTAGAATTATGGCCTAGCAAATACATGCAGTTCACTGCGGTTTTCAGAAGTGATGTAAGATTCCAGTGCCCGGGTTTCAGGATTAAGTAAACACGAGCCGAGGAAAACATGGGCCACAGCCTGCGGGCGGCAGGCAGGGGTCTGCTCCCTTCGCAGGAGGCGACCGGGGAGAACAGGCTTGCAGGGGGTGCCCGCTTCCGAGTCTGCCCACAACAGCTCCCCGACTGAGCCCAACGCGGGGGAGGGCCTTACCAGGCCGTTGGTGTGATTGCACATGTCCCACAAGGGAATCAGCGCCAGGGTCACCCGGGAGCCGTCCTCCGTGGGAATCTGGTTCTGCCGCGTCATCACAGAGGAGACTGCCCACCTGTGGCGAGAGACGAGGCGGCTGACTCGACGGCTCCTGTGTCTCCAGTCCTTCCCGGACGCGATGGCTCGTCACGTTTCAAATTAAATCTAGATCTGGGGGGAGGTGGGGGGGGGGCGGCAGGGGAAGGGAAAGGAGCCCCAGGGAACCCAGGAGTGCGCGACGAAGGGAGAGCGTTCCCGGGAGGAGCCAGAGGCCTGGACGCAGGGACCCGGACGGAGGACCGCGAACAGAGCCCTGCCGGCCTCCCCGAGTCCTCGTGGCCACCAAGGCCCCTTCCCCAGGCCAGGCCAGCCCACCCTCCCTGCCCAGTGCTGACTCTGCAGCTATTTTAAGCCTCAGTGGAAAGCAAACCATGTAACTCTTTACTGATCTTTTAACGAAATTCTTTTAAGAACTCCACAATGTGGAGGGCTACTTTTTATTATCTTGTACAGTGAATTAAATCTTCTGTTTAAAATGAAGCTCCACTTTACACTAAAACAGTCTTTGTAAAAAGGAAAAAAACCCTATGACTACCGCCCATTAATGCTGATCTCCAGCACCACCTGACCGCCTCAACTAGCCCTGCCACTGCAGGTGAGTGGCTATTAAAATGCTGCCACCCGCCCCGGCAGTCCGTTACGGCTTCTGACAGACCGCCTCTGTCTCGGGGCTTTGGGTGGGCACACGGGCCACTTCTTACTGCAGCATTTCTCATTCTAAGATCCCAAACTCACTCAGAAACCACCCCCCAACCCACGCACCCACACAACACCCCCCACCACCCCGCCAACACACCCACCTGTAGTCCTCATAAGTGAAAGAATCCTTCAAGGGCAGTTTGTTGGCATGAGGGTGGGTCTGGGAATTAGAAGTTTTAGAAAGCAGAGGTGAAAAGAGAAAAAGGGAAAACAGAAATCAGTCAGCAGAATTTCATTATTGAGCTGCCTAACAGATCCTAACAAGAGCCAAATGAAGCAGGAGGCGCCCAGCCGCGCTGCTGAGGGATCATCATGCTATTACGCTCTCATACATCACTGTCAACTTAATTTGTTGTGCCCGGCAGCCGCCATAAATCTGCTTCTTCCTCTTTCTTCCTCTTTTGATACCAGAACTCATGGGCAAGGCACAAAAATAAAATTTAAGGTGGACTGACTTCAGCAAAGGCAGGCACGCCCACCCGACAGGAACCCAGAGCCCCCAAAGACAGGGGTCCCCCGTGCGGCCTGCCTCTGTGTCTCCTGCTACAAGGTGCTGCGCGTCCCTTAGGCCCAGGTTTCAGATCCCTCCTTTCAGCGATAAAAGGGACAATTAAAGGCACTCTAATAAATGGAAACTTATTCCATTTATCTCCGACTTAAATCATCTGGACGCGAATCAACGTGCTCCGTGCAAATGAATCATCTGCAGGGTGAGTGTAGCTCCCGGACAGAAATCAGGCAAAAGACAGTTCTGTGAAATTACAAAATAAATTTTACACACAGATTTTTTAAAAAATAAGGACTGGCATATTTAAATTTTACTACTTATTTTTCTGGACAAAAGAACATTTGGTAAAAATGTTCAAAACTTCACACTTATGAGAAAATTTTATAGATTTCATGTTCTCTCTTCACAACACTCCCTCCCAACCCCCCGCCCCTTAGACCTTTCAAGCACTTAAAAACTTTGTCTCAATTAAGGAATTAAAAGCTGTAACAGTATCATTTTAATCTTCAGTTTCAATTACAGTCTGACAGACAGATCGCAGCAAGCGATCGAATGAACAAATGGCGACTTCGGCGACACGAGCGCAGCTCTGGCTCCGCGTCCCCGCACCGCTGTTCGTGCACGGAGCTCCGCGCAGGACGTGGTTTTACTCCTGACGCATTAGCATCACAAGTGCACGGTAATTTATCATCGCTCACTGTAATGTGCTCGCTGGCACCGTAGGCAGGACAGTAGGGGATGAGGTAAAAGTGGCTCAAACCGTAAATCAATTAGAAAACAAAAGCTTGTGCTCAGTGCGCAATTTTAGGCAAATTATATATTACAAAAGGCTGCCAATTGGGTGTTAGCTCCCAGGTGCCCGCTTCTGCCCTCTAAGCCTTAGCCCAGGTTTAACCCTTTGGAAGGAGAGTTGCCGTACAAAAATAAAATCACATAACTTTTCAATGCTGTGGTAATAAAAACAAAATTAAAGAAGGTACTTTTAAGTCAACACGTCACTTGTCGCCCTGGCCATCTCCTAGCAGCTGTGTGACACCGGGAGAGCCTGTCTGCGGGGCCAGGAAGCACTGTCACACGCTGGCCACGGCCGGCGCCGCCCTCACGAAAGGACAGTCCGTGAGACAAGAACCGTCCCTCTACCCACACGGATGTGATGGTAGGAGGACCGCAGGAAAGCCCCAGAAAAGCCGTGGCTGGCATTGCCTTTAGCTTACAATGACATAAAGCTGCACATCATCCATAGCACACCCCACCCCTTGTCAGACTCCAGGAGGCGGGACAGCACCGTTGCTTTTGTTATTTTAAAATATTTTAATTCACTTAAACTGTGGAATGCTCTGTGGCGTTTTGAAAGCTGGTAAATTCCACTGCTAAATCCCATAAGTATTCAAAATTTGATCCATCCCCCGCCCTCCCCAAAAAGTTTGACTTATTGAGTAGGAGAAAAGATGAGACGTCTCAAAATTGGAATTCTTGGATGTCAAAACGATTTGAAAAAAAAATCCTAACACTCAAAGGTCTTTAAATAGCTTTGGACGACACAGAAACAATTCAAATCACAGCGACCTCCTCAAGGACTGAAAAGATAAAGTCACTCTCCAAAGCGTTCCCCTTCCTATTTACATACATTTCTTACTGGAAATATAAGTTCATGCTCACAGTCCTGACGAAGTTGTAAAGAAAACTGGAGAAAAGCCTGCAAATGCTTTCTTCAGATTAAGGTTATTTTGGCTGTAAGGTTATGGAATATTTGCAGAATCTGTTAGAAACAGTTGTTCTTATCTGCTTGAAAAATAAGGTGCGCCCACTGCGCGCACGTACTTCTGGGGTGAGAAGCTATCCTGCCGCCGACACAGGCACTTAACAGTTGAGCTGAAGCAAAAGGTGACAGCGCGGAGAAAGGCAACTCCTTCCCACTTCACCGGGGCCCGCACCGCTGTGACACTATCGCCACCTACTGGTGACGGCGCAGACAGGCGGCCGGCACGCCAGGGCAAGGCCTTCAGAGCACCCTGCGCTCACAGTGGGTTGACCTAGAACGGTCGGCTTCAGCTTTACTCAAGCAAACCTGGCTTCCGAAATACCTCCCATACCTCTTCAAACTATCATGTAACAGTTTTACACGGATCCTGAAACATTCAAAGATTGGAAATAGTCTGCCTTTGAAAAACATTTAGCTTTGAAAAGAAGTATTTTCACATCTCCTGAAAAAAATGAACAAGAGTAAGAAAAATGTCTATTTTACACACTCTTTGTTGAAGCTCTGGACAAGGTTTTTGTTTTGGTTTTTTTTTTTTAAACACTAGATAGAATGATTTTTTGTTTGTTTTGTTTAAAGACCAAGGCTTTTCCCCATGGAAAAATATGTTAAGGTTTAAAAATGTCTCATAAAAACTGGAATCTTAACCTGAAGTGGCCTGAAAAGCCCCTAAAATGTTCTTAGGCAAATGTCTTAATGCTCACCCTCCTTTAAAGGAAGGGTAACTGAATATTCCTCACTTTCTACAGCAAAATCTTGTCAGGGTTTTGTTTATCATGACAAACCTCCAGCAAAAGACATGTACTAACCTGTACTTCAAAAACAAAAATGTAAATTAAAACAGAAAACTCTTTGTCTCTGGCCAGAGGTTTAGCTGGACCGTTGCGGACACACGCGGGGTGGGGAGGAGGGTCTGCCTGGCGCGCCAGCGAGACCGCAGTGAAGGGGCGGCTTGGGGCCGCCACCACACCACCCTCCCCACCTTCACCCCCTCCATCGAGGCTGAGAAACCAGCCACAGGTTTCGTGTGGATTTTTTATGCGATTGATATTTTCATTTTCTCGTGCATAATAAATAGTTGCAGTGGGAGAAACGAACACTTGCCCCAGCTCATAATCAGACCTGAAGCCCGCAAGAGCTTGCTTTTAAACCGGATCCTTGGTCTCTGCGCCAAGCCAGGCGGCCCGGGGAGGCCCCTCCAGCCCTTCGCCAGCCAGGGTTTCTGATGAGGCGCAGGAATACTGTACCTCGTACAAAATAATCACTATGTTTGGAAAAGATTAATATCTAAAATCATTTGTTTGGCTTCAATAAAAAGAAGTAATATTGCTAAATATGTAAGTATGACATTTTGAAGAATTTACCATATTGCATGGGTCTGGTAGCTATGCTTAAGGAAATTAAAAACCACTACAGTCAGCATATTTGATCCTTATTAAAGTTCTGTCCTGAACTATCGTTCACATGAAACAAAAATAAACCAAGAAGAAATTTACATAAAACCTATGGATTACAAGAGTTTGAATATGAAAAAAATGAACAATATTCTGGCTTTAAAAAATTGATTTAGCATGCAGCTTCTCTTTATAGTCCCTTGATAAAAATGAAATCTCCCTAACAAACACTTAATAAAACCTGTCAATATCTCTGGAAAGAAAAATGACACAAATGCATTAAGTATTAAATACCCTTGGAAAAAGTCACATATTCCATGAATTTTTGATGTACTGTCTTGACATTAATGTAAAACCTTGATATTTGTAATTGACAGATATTTAATAAAGTACAGAAGAAGATGGCCGCGCTGCAGCATGCAAATTTTTCAGGTTGATCAGAAACGAGAGACACAGGCATGCACTTAAACTAAACAAACAGTTAATATGTGTTACACGAATCAGCTGCAGTCTTATTTTAAGCTCAGACAACAAACCTTTGTGGAAAACCAAAATAAGCAGAATTCATTATTATGTGAATTCCGAATTCAGAAGCATCTAGTATGTAAAAGAGCTTTGAAACATTAACAGTTCTGTGAAGGAACAAAATACATTGGAGTTAAAGTTGGTTTTTTTTCAACATCTAACAAAAAGCATTCTTTAAAATCATAAACACATTCATATCTATGAAGAGGTATTTCCTAAAACAATTCTCAGAAGAAACACATTTAACCTCAAGACAGAATCGAAAGTCTCTGAAGGGGAAAAAAAGAAAAAGGATTAGCACACACGGATGGCCTCCAAGACACAAATACTTCTCGCAATCCGGTGTTCACCTTTCACAGGAGACTCCCTCCCTCGCGTCTGCCGAGCCGAGTCTTGCAGGGAAACCAAGCTGAAGACATTTAATAACCACTCGCGGTGGGGCCTTTAAATGTACTGAAAGGAAAGTGGCTCGGTTCATAAAAATGACTCCAAAATACTGTATTTTGAAGAATTTACGGCCTGCTATAATATACAATCAATTGTTAATTTCCAAAATATATACAGTAGTTCAGGGGCTTATTAATGGTTCTGTAGTAGCAGGAATGACAAAACGTAGCTGTACCCAGTTTGTGCCAGTAAAAAAAAAAAATAATAGTATGTAGTGTCTATGATTGCATCTGGCTTTACTTCTTAAGCACACACTGAAAGGGAGAGTCAGGCTGCCTCGCTGAGGACAGGCACACCCCACTCCAGCCGCGGTCCTGCCTCCTGCTGCGGCAGGGACACAGCAGTTACCGCTCCTCAGACCTGACCGCCGTGGGTGGGTGCAGTTACAGAAGTTTTGGAAATGTGACCCCACCGCCCGTACCCAGGAGATCTATGGTGCTTGCGATGGCATCTGAGAAGCTCCCCTGTGACGAAGCCACCTGCACCCGAGCCCAGGGTGGACGGACCTGGTGTCTCGGCAAGTGCTG